GAAAAAAAAAAAAAAAAAGCTAACATTTATGGAATGGTGCTTCCAAGGAGTGCCAGGCATTGTTCTGAGTGCTTTACACACATGAGCTCATTTAGTCTCATAACTCCATAGTGGCAGGTATGATTATAACGATTATAGAGGAATAAACAGCCAAAAACGTGTTCTCTGCTCCACAGTTTTGAGGAAGTAGAGACAGGATTAAAATCATTATCCCCCACCAGCACAAAATCCCAACCAGGACAGGGTTTATATCTTATTAAGTTCTGAATCCTCACAGTTTATCACAGCACAAGGCTGGTAGTACATGCTCAGTAAAGCTCAAAGAATAAAGGAAAGAAGAAGAAGGGCACTCCTTATCTCCCTCCTGCTCCTACCCCAGCTCTTTGAACCTTGTCAGAAATTTGGTAGAGCTCATGCAGACAATACTCCCATCCCTGGGAGTTCTGCTTTTCCTCCTCCCACTTACACACACCTTTTGCCAGTCCCATCTGGAAGGGTTCAAATTTAAGAACTACCAGCAAACCACTAGTTTTCTGCGAAAACTAGAAGCAAAATGCCTGTGAAGAGGTAGCTTCAAAGACACAGTACCAGACATTCACACCCCACTAGGGGCTGGTTTATCTGGTTTGATCAGCAGCCTCAGTCGGCTATGCAGGACTATTTAGGAGGACAGGCAGGAGTGAGCAGAGGACACCAAGGGGATGGAGACAGGTAGCCTCCCCTCACCTCCTTACAAACTGGGGACTAGGATGGGCAGCTGAGGGCAGGGGGCAGTCCGTGGGTTCACAGCAGCCTCGGCCCTCACCTAGGAAGACCATATCCACTTCATGACGTATGTGGTGATTTTTGTGTTTAAAACAAAACTGTGTGTTTGTGGGTGTCCCTTTGTTTATGTCAGAAAGAAAAATGAAATACAATAAGAAAGATACTGGCAACTCAGTTCTCTTATGTGAGGTTCAATTGATTCTTCAAACTTTATGTTTGAAAGTTTCCGTAATTAAAAAAAAAGAAAAAGACAAAATTACAAAGAGATTGTTAGAATAAAATTCTAAGTCACAACTATAATGGATGGCCTCATATTTAAATAACTAAACAAGCAACATATTTAAATGAGAGAAAGATCATTTCATATGAACCTGATATGTTTTCAGAAAAAAAAAAAGATACATGTATTTTCTAGTACATTATGGAAAATATTCTACAAGGGTCCAATGTTTTCTTTAAAGATGTCTTTTTGTGATTACCACAGGAACTTCTAACCTGACAGAGGAAAAACAAATAATTGACAGGATAATTTCTTTACATTATAATTTCTAATCATATGTTATTAGAAGTAAACAGCAATAAATCAGAAGATAAAAAGTTTCTTACCATATTATCCTTCACTTAAAATTATATAATAGTTTTTTCAGAATTGTCAGGACAACTTACCTGGGTTTCCATCATTGGCTTTTGGAAAGGGAAAGTATCATGGTTGACACACCATAAAATATCATTATCCTCATTTTCTGAGGCTGCCATCAATAGAATACCTAAAAGTTTCATATATAAAATATTATTACATCATGTCAAATAATATGCATCCTCAATAACCTTAATAACTATTGTTAGGTTGGTGCAAAAGTAATTGCGGTTTTGCAATTAAAATTATAAAACCGGGCTGGGCATGGTGGCTCATGCCTGTAATCCCAGCACTTTTGGAGGATGAGGTGGGCGGATCACGAGGTCAGGAGTCCGAGACTAGCCTGACCAGCATGGTAAAACCCTGTCTCTACTAAAATTCAAAAATTAGCTGAGCGTGGCAGTGGGCCTCTGTAATCCCAGCTATTCGGGAGGCTGAGACAGGAGAATGGTGTGAACCCAGGAGGTAGAGGTTGCAGTAAGCTGAGATTGTGCCACTGCACTCCAGCCTGGGTGACAGAGCAAGACTCTGTCTCAAAAAAAAAAAAATTTTTTACAAAACCACAAGTACTTTTATGCCAACTTAAAATTAGCGCATATAGATATACACACACAACATCAATCTTTATAAAGAAACAAGTTACAAAATAAAATAATTCCATGAAAGACCATATAATTATTTTTAGGGTAGACTCCTTAAGTGTTCTCAATTTTAAACTGTATTTCTCTCAGGTAAACATATTTTTTTTTCACATTTTAGCATTTCTGAACTTAGGGTATATCTTGCAGTCAATGGGCTTATCAATTTAATTATTAATTTTATAAAAATGTATTTAGTATATAGAAAATGCTGTGACTGACAATTCACAATGTAATAGAAGCTAATATTCAACGAAATACAGTTTATATACTGGTTAATTCAAACACACCATGAATAAAAATGATGAAGGTGCCAGAGGAATGGCAGAGATAAGTGTACTATAGAAGCAATCATCTGGGCCAGGTGCTGTGGCTTATGCCTGCAATCCCAGCAGTTTAGGAGGCTGAGGCAGGCTAATCACTTGAGCCCATGAGTTGGAGACCAGCCTGGGCAATAAAGTAAGACCTTATTTCAACAAAAACTGAGGCAGGAGGATTGCTTGAGCCGGGGAGGTAGAGGTTGTTATGAGGCATGACTGCACACTGCACTCCCACTTGGGTGACAGTAGACACTGTCTCAAAAAAAAAAAAAAAAGCAATTATCTCAACAAAACTCACCAACACAGTGGCTTCACACCTATAACCCTAGCACTTTGGGAAGCAGAGGTGGCAGGATTGCTTGAGCCCAGGAGTTAAAGACCAGCCTGGGAAACATGGTGAAACACCATCTCTACAAAAAATACAAAAATTAGCCAGGAGTGGTGACACACGCCTGTAGTCCCAACTACTCAGGAGGTTGAGCAAGGAGGATCACCTGAGCCCGGAAGGTTGAAGCTAAGGTGACCCAAGATCCTGCCACCGCATTCCAGCCTGGGTAAAAGAGTGAGAACCTTCCTCCCCACCCCCAAATGACTTGGAAAAATATTCCGTATTCATGGATTTGAAGACTAAATATAATTAAGATGGCAACATGCCCCAAACTGATACACCGATTTAGCTATCACAATCCAATCTCACTTTTTTTTTTTGAGATGGACTCTTGCTCTGTCCCCCAGGCTAGAGTGGACCTTGGCTCACTGTAACCCTCACCTCCGTAGTTCGAGCAAGTCTCTTGCCTCAGCCCACAAGTAGCTGTGACTACAGGCATGACCCCCGACACCCAGCTAATTTTTGTATTTTCAGTAGAGACGGGGTTTCGCCATGTTGGCCAGGCTGGTCTCCAACTGACCTCAAGTGATCTACCTGCCTTTGCCTCCCAAAGTGTTGGGATTACAGGCATGAGCCACTGTACCCGGCCCCACCTCACATTTTTTGCAGAAATTAACAAGGTGATTCTAAAATTCATATGAAAATTCAAGAGACTGAGAATAGCCAAAATCATCTTTAAAAAAAAAAATCAGGCCAGGTGCACGGTGGCTCACGCCTGTAATCCCAGCACTTTAGGAGGCTGATGCAGACAGATCACTTGAGCTCAGGAGTTTGAGACCAGCCTAGGCAACAAGGCAAAAGCCTGTCTCTACAAAAAATATAAAAATTAGCCAGGTGTGGGGGCACACGCCTGTAGCTTCTCTCAGCTACTCAGGAGGCTGAAGTGAGAGGACGGCATGAGCATGGGAAGCAGAGGTTGCAGTGAGCAGAGATTGTGCTACTGCACTCCAGCCTGGGCAACAGAGCCAGACCACTCCAAAAAAAAAAAAAAAAAAAAGATCAAAGTTGGAATAGTCACACTTGCCAATTTCAAAACTTATTACAAAGCAACAGTAATCAAGACTGTACTACTGACATAAAGATGGATAATACAGACCAATAGAATAGAACTGAGAATCCAGAACCCATACATTAACGGGTAATTCACGTGAGAAAGTAAGATGAAGACAATTCAATGGGGAAATAATAGTCTTCAACAAATGGTGCTCGGACAGCTAGATACCCACATGCAGACGGATGAAGTCAGATTCCTACCTCATACAACGTATAAAAATTATCACAAAACAGATCAAAAACCTAAATGTAGGAGTGAAAACTATACTTTCAATTTCAACTTTTGAATTTCACTACAATTTCAAATTTTATTTTAGATTCAGCAGGTACATGTGCAAATTTGTTACTTGCGTATATAGCGTGGTGCTAAGGTTTAGGGTACAACTGATTCCATCACTCAGGTACTAAGCATAAGACCCAACGGTCAGTTTTTCAACCCTTGCTCCCCTACTTCCCCAACCCTTCTAGTAGTCCCCAGTTTCTACTGTTGTCATAGGTATTTTCAAATGCCTCAAAACGCCATATAATTTTAACAATTTTAAGAATCTCATCTTAAATCTGATAGTATTTCAGAACTTACCTTTACTATAAAGTGCTCTATGTACTTTTGAAGGCTTTTCTACGGTTGAAGATGCTGAGAATCCAGGAGGTAAGCGGACGTGAATCAGCGTCAATGTATTAGGCCGTGCTAATGGCTGTCTGAATGGACAAGTGCTGAAATATAACCTTACACCTGAAGATGGGGTAAAATTATGCATCAGTAATAGAAAATAAGGACCTGAGGTAAATGTGTTATTGAAGCAATTACATATAGCAAAGCAAAACTCTGCTAAAACCATACATAACTTTCTGGACTAATTTTTTTTGGGGGGATGGAGTCTAGCAGGCTGGAGTGCAGAGGCGCCATCTCGGCTTACTGCAGCCTCCACCTCCCGGATTCAAGCAATTCTCCTGCCTCAGCCTCCTAGGTAGCTGGGACTACAGGCACGTGCCACCACACCCATCTAATTATTTTTATTTTTATTTTATTTTTGAGACAGAGTCTTGCTCTGTCGCCCAGGATGAAGTGTAGTGGTGCGATCTCAGCTCACTGTAAGCTCCACCTCCTGGGTTCACGCCATTCTCCTGCCTCAGCCTCCCGAGTAGCTGGGACTACAGGTGCCCGCCACCACATCGGCTAATTTTTTGTATTTTTAGTAGAGACAGGGTTTCACCATGTTAGCCAGGATGGTCTCGATCTCCTGACCTCAGAATCTACCTGCCTTGGCCTCCCAAAGTGCTGGGATTACAGGTGTGAGCCACTGCGCCCAGCCCCCTGACTAATCTTAAATTACCATATAGACTATCAGCTGAAATATATATCTAAGAAAATGTCACTCAAAATTGAGAGGTGAATCAATACATTTCATTAGAAAGAACTTGCAAAGACAAACCAAGAAATCTTGTGTTCCAGTTCAGGCTTTGTTACAAAATGTGAGCCACTGTGCCATTTAGGCTTGGCTTTTGTTTTGCTTTTTTACTGGTTTTTTGAGACAGGGTCTTGCTCTATTGCCCAGGATGAAGTACAGTAGCATAATCTCAGCTCACTGCAGCTTCAAACTCCTGGGCTCACGCGATCTTCCCGCCACAGCCTCCCAAGGAGCTGTACTACAAGGCTGTGCCACTACACCTAGCTAATTTCTGTATTTTTAGTAGAGACGGGGTTACAGGGTTTCACTATGTTGCTCAGGTTAGTCTTGAACTCCTGGGCTCAGGCAATCTGCCCACCTTGACCTCCCAAAGTGCTAGGATTACAAGTGTGAGCCACCATACCTGGCCTAGGCTTGGTTTTATATCTATAAAATGAAGAAACAGAAAAGTCTCCCAGTTTTCAAAATCCTTTATTTTACAAATTATTTATATGGCTTTAAAGCAGATATGGAAGTAAAAATATATTTCTAATCATAAATTTCCAAATCTAAGAATTTTCAGAAGCTGTAACAGTAACACAGATATGTAAATAAAACAACATACCTGCATGTGTGACAGCCAATAACTGGCAGTCCAGTGATTCAGAATTTTCAATCACTGCTATTTGGACAATTGGTTTAAAAACAGAACGATCGATGGTCCTAAAAGAAAGGAGAAAATAAAGTGTATTTTTAAATGTGTCTGCTAAATTATAAGAAACATTTCCTATCAGAATGTTTACATATTTCCATATTTTCTTTTTTTTTTTTTTTGAGATGGAGTCTTACTCTATCACCCAGGCTGAAGTACAGTGGTAGGATCTCGGCTCACTGCAATCTCCGCCTCCCAGGTTCAAGGAATTCTCCTGCCTCAGTCTCCTGAGTAGCTGGGATTACAGGCTTGCGCCAGCATGCCCAGCTAATTTTTGTATTGTTTTGTAGTAGAGACGGAATTTCATCATGTTGGCCAGGCTGTCTCGAACTCCTGACCTCGTGTGAGTGTGATCCGCCTGCCTTGGCCTCCCAAAGTGCTGGGATTACAGGCGTGAGCCACTGTGCCCGACCACATGTTTCCACATTTTCTAAATATGCTAACTAATTTAAGACTAGCTTTTTAGGAAAGTAATACAAGAACAGCAAGAACTGGAAAAACTCTTGAATGTGTACTTTTTACACTTATATTGTTAAGAGTAACCCTATTTTCAAACAAAGATCACAAAAAAAGACTAAAACCATTGGGTGAATGGTTGGTGGGGAGCAGTATTCTCAGTGTCAAAGTATCATTACTACTAATTAAAAAGGGAGAAAGCACGGGTGCAGTGACTCACACCTGTAATTCCAGCATTTTGGGAAGCCAAGGTGGGCGGATCACCTGAGGTCCAGAGTTCAAGACCGGCCTGGTCAACATGGTGAACCCCCGTCTCTACTCAAAATACAAAAAAATAAGGCAGGTGTAGCGCATGCTTGTAATCCCAGCTATTCAGGAGGCTGAGGCAGGAGAATCACTTGAACCCAAGGTGGAGGTTGAAATGAGCTGAGATCACGCCACTGCAGTCCAGCCTGGGCAACAAGCCCAGACTCGTTCTCAAGAAAAAAAAAAAAAAAAAAAAGGGAGGAAATTAAACTTTATAATGTAGACATTTAGTTAACATCACCTCAAAGAAGTTTTCAACAGTGAGAAAACTGCTATTATGTGTCTCCTGATATAATGTAGTAAGACATTTCACACTGCCTATGTGAATTCATTACAATGTGAATTGCCATTTCACATTGTAGTAAGACATTTCTCAGCACTTGGAGAGGCTGAGGCAGTCAGACCACTCCAGGCCAGGAGTTCAAGACCAGCCTGGTCAACATCTTTACTAAAAAATATATAAAAATTAGCCAGGAATAGTGGCGCATGCCTAGAATCCCAGCTACTTGGGTGGCTGAGGCACGAGAATCACTTGAACTCGGATGCAGAGGTTGCAGTGAGCCAAGATAGCGCCATGGCACTCCAGGCTGGGTGACAGAGCAAACCTCTGTATCAAAAGAAAAAAAAAGAAAAAATATAAATACATACACATATACAAATATATATAAACATCGTATATAAAATGTATGTATATAAAATGTATTACTGAGAATCTAATTACAAAAAAAGATAAATTCAGAAAATTGTATAATTCTCCTGCCCCTCCCTTCCAAATGTCAATATTCCAAAAAAAGAAAGGTGGTCACGGGGCTGTTTTATATTAAAGAACCCAATCCAACCAATCCAATTCCTAAATTCTGATTGTAATTTGAGAAAAATGGAAAGAAAAACAAGTATAAAAGATTTTGAATCCGGGTGTGGTGGCTCACACCTGTAATCCGTGAGCCACGGATTGCCGCTTTGGGAAGCTGAAGTGGGTGGATCATATCAGGTCAGGAGTTCAAGACCAGCCTGGCCAACATGGTGGAACCCCGTCTCTACTAAAAATACAAAAATTACCCTGGTGTGGTGGCTCGTGCCTGTAGTCCCAGGTACTCGGGAGGGCGAGGCAGGAGAATTGCTT